CCATTAAAGTAAACTTCCTTTAAAAGTGCAATTTGCAATATTCATTATCGCTTGCTTGAATTTCGCCATCATCTTACAGATTTCATTATGTCTAAATAGCTATCTAAATTCTAAGCTGATTATGAAAACATCAAAAATGTATTAATTAAGTAAAATCGTAAAAGAAATAAACTTTTAATTGGAATCTGGAGTAATTGTATTTGTGAACTTTGAAGCTCTACCCTTTTATCAACTATTTCTAATGTAGCTAAAAAAATAGACCCCCATTAAACATGGGTTAAAAATGGCACAAAAAAATAAGAAGGGGGAATGGAAAAGTAAAAAAAGGGGGAAAGAAGGGCGGAGTGAGGAAGAGGGCAATACCAATTGAGTGACAAGCAAACAGCAGCAGCAAAAACAACAACGCACATCAATGACATACACACACACATACACGAAAGGCACAACTATGCATGTGTGTTTGTGTAAAGTGCCGGGTCGATAAACAAAAAAAAATTAAAATAAGAGAAGAAGAAGCGATGGCATCGCTGCCGCAGCCGACGTTGACTGCGCTGCCAGCTGATAGCGGGCGTCGCGACGTCGCGTTTGACTCATTAAATATTTTGCAACCTTGACCGTTCGAAAGCGATTAAAAATGCGATGTTTAAATGTGAGTGTTCGAATGTTTGTGTGTGTGTGTGCAAGCGGCATGCAATTGCAGCTCGAATGTGTGAGAGTGTGTGGGTGCCCCTTGTGAATGAAACAAAAATTGTTGACATTTGGCAAAGCAGAAGAAGAAAATAGGGGGGCAAGCAGGAAAAGGGGAAAGCAGAGAAATGAGAAATCCGCACTGCCCCAAAAGCAAACAAAAACACACAGATGGAAGTGGAGGGAAAAATCTATGAAAAAAGGGCGGAGAAAACTGGGTTACAACTGTGAAAATATGAAAAACTATTTCCAGCGAACATTTCCTCATAAACAGAGAACATTTTATGGAATATCTGTGTGCATTTTTTAATCAATATTTTATCCATTGGTTTATCTCATACTAGCAGAAATGTTTTACTATAAATAAGTGGCTTTTCCATTCTATAAATATTAAATTAAACCTACAATTGATTAAAATCCTCCAGCTGCAACGAAAAAAAGGGAAAAAAAACGGATCACAGCAAAATTATCCCCATTTTTATTGTGGGATTTTGTCAATGCAGCAGAAACAAAAGACGAGATAACAAAGCCCCAAAAAAAAAGACGAAGAATATACGAATCATTTATCGTTTTACGCTTTTCTCGCAACTTGCCTTCGCTTCTTTATTTTCCTTTCCTGTTCCATTAGCAATAAACATTTTCAGTGGAAAGACAACAAAAGAACAGATTCCGGACTCTCATGACATTCTAACGAAGTTAAATTGCTATCAGTGTGTGCAGTGCATGTGTTTCAATTTTGATTTCCATCTCAGTTCAAGCCATTTGTATGTGTGTGTGTGTGTGTGTGTGTGTATGTATGTATCTAGACTAAACTGTAGAGATAATGGAGGGAGCAGCCATTAAAACTCGATTAACTTGACTGAAGGGATGTGCTTCCCATAACATTTGATATTTGGCTTTTATATCCCTTTTACCCCCTATATACACGTATAATATATACATATATATAAAGTTTGTATATCACAATTTAAGGAAAGAAAAATATCTTTGTTAATATAATCCTTTGAATAAAGTAAAATAAAAATCCATCAATCATAAGTAACATTAATATTATGACTATAACATATTTAACAATAAGCTTTAATTATTCGCTACATTCCAATCATATATATTTATATGTAGATATGTATCCACTTTTAAGATTTGTTTATTTTAAGCTTTCCGCTCTGTTCATTATCTTTCGCTAATCTCCGGCAAACAATTTTGTGGATTTTTGTATCTGCACTCCAGACATCAATCACCGAACTCTTTCCGCAAGAAAAACAAGAAATATACACAACAGTTCCTGTCTTTTAAATTGCGTTCTAATTTGGCAAATGAGCAAAAAAAAAAAAAATAAATAAAGAACACATAAAAACAAAAAAACGATTAAACAAGGCGAGAGAAAATAACTTTTGTCCATCCATCATCAGCACTCTATTTTAAATCATGTTTTCCTTTCAACCCCCTTTGGATTAAAAACTTAAAAATAATACCTATTTATTGTATGAACTTTGTAATAATCCTTACGAGTGAAAAGTTATATAGTTTCTATTATATAAGCACAGAATTGCAATTAACTAAGCGATTATAGCAAAACCTGTTTATTCTGTTTAGAAGTTAGTGCATCTCTACATTTTTTGTTCATTCTAAAAGAAATGGGTTTTTCTTTTTTTTTTTTAGGGGCATTTGCTTGTCTGGAATTTTCTGGACAAAAAGGACGGAAAGTTGAGAAACAGGAGAGGGCCTATCCTCTATTATTGTTGCCCTTTGCCCTCGAAGTAATCGTTGCGGCAGGTCAACGGTGTCAAATTACATATAATTATTTTTTTAGCTTCTTCTCATTCCGATTTTCATCAAGCGCTTCCCACTTCCCGCTTTGTTTTTCGCTCGTCTAAACCACAAAAACTGAAGCCGAAACCCCATTCATCATCACCATTATCATCTGTTTTTATTTGTTACGTTTTTTCCGGATTTTTTACCTTTACTTTTATGGCTATATACACACACACATACACACACACACACCATACATATAACTACAACAATATAATATTCCACTTTTTGCCAATGACTCATTTACCAACTGGCGTTGAATGCAAATTATGAAATCAATTGAAATGCAAAATGTTGCTAAGCGATAATTTGCACTTTTAAGGTTCCCAAGTGGAATTCAGGAAAAAAATAAAGACGGAAATGAGGTAAGTATGATGGAAAATGTAAATTTTAAGTGTTTACAGCTGTTCTTTTATTTCTCGTAACAAGCAATACTGAGAACTTAAGGATTGTAATTCAAAATATTGTAATATGCAACTGGTTATTTTATAATCTTGGCAAAACTAGTTTTAACTTTACCCCAGTTCTATCATTTAAAAACATGTTATACAAAAATACATTATTTTTTAAATTTATTGAACGGTTTATGATAAAATTAGATTGTAACCTGTTTCCCGCGACAACAAAGCAAATAATAAAACTGGTTACAGATATTAAAAACCCATGGCATTGAAACAATTTAAGGTCAACAAGCCATGGGTTCTGAAAAAGATGACAATGGGCTTTTAAACGAAATAGTCACCAGCATACTATCTGGTTTTTCCACACAAAAATAATCTTTAATCAAAGTCGTTCGTATTTTATTAAAAACCACTTGAAGGCTTCAATCTAAACACATAAATAAACTTGATGCAGGTTTATTTTCATAACAAAAATCTTATCTGAATGACTCCTAAATTCTTGGAATTCTGACTGAAAGTCCACCGATAAACAAAATCGAGTCTTGAACTCACTCACTTTGTTTTTCTCAGAAATAATACCCAATTTTTTTCGTCAGGCGCATTATAAACTTTTCCTGATACTATTTTCGTAGCAAAGTTAAATGACTAAGCCACTCCACAAAAAAAAGAAAAACAAGCAAAGCAAATGCAATTTTCTGTGAAAAGTAACTATAGAAAACCACTATGAAAACTAATACCCCAGCTGCTTTTTCTTATTTTCTTGTCCAGAATAGCGCTGGAAAAATGCAATTACTTTAAGGAAAAATAATACCAACTCCCCGAAGGATAAAAATGAAGGAAACCATATAATTGATTGCGAGGAAAATAAAACCGAAACCCACAATGGCCAAGCTTTGGCCAATTAAAGGAAAATAATATACAGATATGCCGAAAAAAGTACCCAAAAGGGGAAAAACTAAATAATTGGGAAAATGTTGCATCTATGCATGTATATCGGAAATTTAAGACTTACTACCTTTTTAAACTGAACGTAAGGGTAATGTAAACTAATCTTTATCATTAACAATTTACTAGCTTTGCTTCATGGGAAATGTTAAATATTTTCCTCGATCGTTGCGGAATAGCCGTAATATGGAAACTAAAATATGTATTAATAGATAGAAATTTCCTACAACCAGGCAAGAAATATGAAAGAAAGGGAATCCAAAACCCCACACTGAACTTTCAAAGTGGTTTGATGGAAAATTACTAATGCCTGGCAAAGAAACCTTAAACCTGGGAAAACTGTCACTTGTTCTGCTTCAACAAAAGTTGCAATTAAGTTCAATAATGCATATGAATAATGTACAAAACAGACATGAATAGCATTTTGTTGAAGGATTTTACTGTCAAAGGAAAATTCAGTTTTCCTTAGGTAATACAATACGTTGGCAGAATCCAAGGCACATAAAATGAATGAAAAGCTACATATATAATTGATTCACACAAATGGTGAAGAGGCATAAATGGTTAAAGTAATACAATTCCCTTCTTTTCAGAACAGAAAGGAAATCAAAACCTAAACAGACTTGCTTTTATGTCATTGAAACAGAAAACCAACTAAAAGAAAACTTTATAATTCAAGCACTGGAAAAAACACAAATAAAAATATATTTTTGTTTGTAATTTAATATTTTTTAATTTATACAAAAACTAGTTGTTTAGTTTAAGTTATCGAAATATACCACTTCAGGGCTTTTAAAATGTGAAATATAAAAACTATAAACTTTTCCTTTTATAAATTTCCTTTAATTAAAAGTTGAAATATCGAAGATTAAGACTTTTGCGAATTCTATTTTGAAGGCTGTTGCTGCTGCACTTTCCAACTTTCCGTATTTCTCCACTGCCAAAGAGGAAAATGCAGTGGAAAAAGGCTGGAAAAGACAGCTTCACAAGCCGGCAGACAGGAAATGAGCTTTGCGGCGGAAATTTGCTGGGTGGAAATGGGTATGTTTGATTACTTGTTTCAGGGCGCACTTTTTTTTTCTCACTCGTATTTACCTACTATTTTTTCTTTTTTTTTTTGCCCACTTAAAATTGTTAGTTAAGTTAACTCACCTGTGAAGCGATGCTGGATTTGATGGCAGGCGTTGCTGATACGCGGACATGTTGGCAGCCTGTTGCTGTTGCTGCTTTTGGTGTTGCTGCTGCTGCTGCTGTTGCTGTTGCTGTTGCGTTGCTTTATTCTGCTGATTAGAGATGATAGATGATTGATGCAAATGATGGGACGTTGGTCCATTATCATGCTGCTGTTGTTGTTGTTGTTGTTGTTGTTGCAGCTGTTGCTGGTTGCTGCTGGCAACAACACGTTGCTGTTGGTGATGCTGCTGGTGGTGTTGTTGCTGCTGCTGATGTTGCTGCTGCTGCTGCTGCGCACCGTTTGGTGTGTTGTTGTTGTTGTTGTTGTTGTTGCTACTGCTGCTGCTGCTACTGTTGTTGTTGTTGCTGCTGCTGTTGTTGTTATTGTTGTTGCTGCTGCTGCTGTTGTTGTTGTTGTTGTTGTTTGTGGGCGGCGGAGCACCGACCTGCACTGAAGTGGAGCGTATAGCTGCTTCCATTTCATGCCGAACTCTTTTGGCTTAAACACTTGTTGTTGGCCGCAGAATTGATTGATTTGGTTGTTGTTGTTGTTGTTGTTAACGCGTTGCTGCTCCTGTTGTTGTTGTTGCTGTTGCTGCTGCCGACAGTTGCAACATTATTGCACTGCGACATTCTCTCGGAAGTGCCCCACAAAAAAATTTTCGCTTTAAAGTTAACACAGGATTTGAATTTATATATTGATTTTCCCCTATTTTTTCTTTCTCTTCAAGTTTAACAATTGATTTTAGTTGCTTTTTTTTTTTTGGGTTGCTGTTGTTGCTGCAACGGGGCAACAACAGTTGCCTTAATGCGATTGCATTTTTATTTTGGCTGCACTTTTCCTCTTTGCACAATAAATCAATTATACATTTATATATTTATGCTTTTCTCTTGATTTTCTTTTATCTATTTACACACTGCTCTGGAAGAATGACATAAAAAGGATATTAGCACATTTTTCTTTTTAATTTCTTTTCTCGCATTTACTTTAAGTTGCATCACTTCACTTTACCAATCAAAAAAATATGAAAAAAAAAAAAAATGTTACGAATTGATTCGACAATTTAACACTTTTGGGAAAGGAACTCGGTTACGATGTGTGTGTGCGTGTGTTGCATACGATATCTTGTATTTTATTATTTTTATTTGTTATACATTTTTTTTTAATCCTCTAAACGAACCGAACCGAAAAACGCGACAACGCAAACGAAACGAATTTTTCCATTAATTAACAGCTTTTGCACACTTTTTTTCAGTCCTCACGCCCTCTCGCTCGCTCACTCTCTGCTCCTCTCTTTCGCTCTATCACAAGACACACACCGAAAAAAAAGCGGAACAAAAACAAAAGAAGTTTACTTCGTTTATCATCCGTCCGTCCAACTGCCGCCGTCCATTTGTTTCGACCTGCAAAAAGGAAAGAAAGAGAAACACTCTGATTAGTTGCAAAAAAAGAAAACAAAACAACCAACAACAAACACTCACACAAACAAAAGACACACACGAAAGAAGAAATAGCAGGTTAGATGATTAGAAAATCGATAATGGCCATAAATATTCCAGCAGATAATGTTCCCCAGACCCCAGAAGCCCCAAACCCCAACCCCAAAACCCGAGCCACGAACCACGAAACCCAAAAACCCCGGACCGGTTTGAAGTGCAGCGCATTATCGCGTCTGCGATTATTTCTGTCATTGAATTGCCTGCCGCTGCCGGCCAGCCATCGCAATCCGACTTTTGTTATCGACCGGAGGCTTAAGGTATTTACGAGTACGGCCGAAAGTCCTCCATTCGATTCGATCGAGTATTTAGCGGCAAAGAAAAATACAGTCCCCGGTAAGAATGAATTTAAAAAAATTACATTTTTGTAACAAAATTTAACTTTTGCTTTCGATGCCCAAATTATTTAACTGTAAGGCATAAAGGGTTTTTTAACCCTTATCCTATAAATATAGTTAGTTCTTAATTTCCTTATTTCATTTAAAAAAAAAAAACAAGTCCCAATTTTTTTTAAATTAATTTTACATTAAATTATAATTTTTGCAGTTCCGTTTAAATTTAATTTGAAAAGTTTAAAAACAACCGCTTAAAAGTGTAGGAATATATTATTTTTATTGTCCAAAATATGGTTAGAATGATTGGGTTTCTTAAGTACCTTTTTTTTAATTTTAGAATAAAAAGCGAATATTGTTAAGTTATAACTACAACATGAAAAAATATACATTTGAAACCACTTTAATTTGTATTACGACAAATACATAAACCTACCATATTCATGTCAGTATTCGATACAATATGAACTAAAAGAGTAATGTAATAATAGAGTATAAACTTTATTTTCCTGATGAACCTTTTCCGCAATTCGTCTTAATTTTAAGCCGCACTTCTCTTATACAACTTTCCCGTTCCCGTTACCCAAAAAACTCTTTCGTGTACCTGCTAAATTTATTTCAACACCCAAATGGAACTGAAGCGCTTTAAAAGCAGAACTCATCAATAATTTTTCGCCCACTCATCTATCATTCGATAGCAGTATATACGTACATATAAACGTATATATGTATGAATTATATGGTGTGTATATAAAACTGGGGAAGACAGCTGCTCTGGTAGAAAATCATGGGTGCTGAAGTTTGGCAACGTCGCTATGAAAAACTCTCAATATTTGGCCACATGTTTTTCTGCCGCTGCCGGCGTCGCAGTCAGCGTTTTTATTCCTCCTTTTATCGTTGTTTTTGTTGTTATTTGCAATTTTGCAACTGTGTTTGCTTTTAATGAAAGCAATTAAACTGCACGGCCGCAAATAAATAAAACAAAGCGGAATGCAAACAACGAAACGAAATAGTAAATTAAATTCACACTACGAAAATTGAATTCAATTCAAGATGCAAAAATTTAGCACGAAATTCCAGTAAAGTAGAAATAAATGAAGAAAATACAAGAAAAAACTCAACCAAGCGTCACAGCAGCAGACAGACGAAAACCATGTTGCCAAATTTCACAACCCAAGAGGGAGAAAAAAAACTTAAGCACGCGTAAGATTAAAGCAGCGGTGTTGCCAAATTTCACCAAGCAGCATGGCAAAAAGCGAAAAGCAGAGAAGCAGAAAACAGCCCCAACGCAAACAAATTAATAAAAATAACAACATACACATACAACTGCAGACGACAACACAAAACATACATATATATATATATATATATGTACGAAAAAAGAGGCTTAAAAACTATACGAACACAAAAAAAAAGGAAAAATCGGAAAAACAAAAACGTAAAAGCATAAAAAGTCAAAAAGAGAAACACAAGCAAAAGCCAGCAGAGCAGCATTATAATAATAATAATAATAGCATACAAAAGAAACTACAGTGTGATCTCTGAAATCTTAAAATTGTATAGAAAAGTATGTACAAAATTAATTACCAATAATAACACATAGCTTCATATAAATATTTGAGGGTATAACCCTTTTAATCATTTGTATTAAAAAAAACAGTAATATTTATTTTATACACAAAACGTTGTAAATGTTTTAAATGATCATTTATATTTTACAAGGACAACGCGCATTGAGTTACATTAATATTTTCGTTTCTATATTTAATTTATTTTTGATCCAATTTCGGATTGACATCAAAGTCACAATACAACACACTTTTTAGTTCTTATGGATTCACTGTATCGAGTAAGCACAGTACAACAAACAAAATAACCAACTTAAAGAAGAAGACGAAAATGATGCCGAGGCACATGTTCAAGAGCGAGCGAGAGAGAGAGAGGTAGATAAAGCGTAGGAGAGAGCAAGACAGAGGGAGTGGGAGGAAGAGGAAGAGGGATGGCAACACGAGAGGCTCTGCGCACAAGTCAAGCGGAAGACAAGGAAAGAGCGAGAGAGGTATGGAGGGAACAACAAATAAAGCAAGTAGTAATGGAGCAAAGAAGACGGCCAAAGAGGGGAAGGGCAAAGGATGAAAGGGAAGCGTTATGAAGGGGAGTGGAGAGGCCACTGCTGAGGTTGAGCAAAAACAGAGAACAACAACACAAAAGCGGGAACTTCTACACAGTCGCAAATGCATACTCACATTCACTTACACAGTGCCGCTCGAAATATTAGTTCAGAAAAATTTGGCATTCATAAATTAAAGAGTTTTATTAAGCACATAGAATAATAAATAATTGTGTATTGCCATCAAATGCTTACTAATTACCATATTAGGTAATTCCTTCCAATATATAAAGTTTCACTATAAAATAAAAGATTTTAAAATTTAAAACTTATCTCCTTTACAGTTTTTTATAAGTTTCAAATCAGAATTATAAATTCCAATTACTGATAATAGATCGTATTTTCTTAACAATTACATCTGCTAAAATAAATCAATTAATTTGATAACTGTTATTTCTACGAAATGAAATATGTATGTAACTGCAATTGGACAGGTGCTATTATTCCGATCACTGCTGTACAAACTTATATGCGCATACTACGCCAAAGCAAACAGTAGGCGGCATGGCGATGGAATGGAATGAGGAAGTGGGGGAGAAGATAGCGGGAGGATGAAGAGAGACATCGTGCGCAGAAACGTTCGTGCATGGGGTGGTGTGGGTTAAACAGTGCGGGTGACGCAACAGCAACAACAAGTGCAAGGCGGCAGAGCCGTTGGCAACTGAATACCGCACACACACACACTTTCATAAGACATAAAACTCGTAACGTCATAAAACGAATCGGACAACAAAGCGACCAAGCGACTAAACGACGAACGACACGACAAAGCGACGACGACAAAACGACAAACTCGCACAAATTCCCCAAAGACTCAAGTGTGAGAAAGAGAAGGTGGGCGGCGGCCAGAGAGAGCGAGCGAGATATGGTACTTGTAGCCCTCATGCCAAGTTTTTGTTTTTGTTGTCTGCCTTTTATTTTGTACTTTTAACCCCCCACCGGCCAACATCAAACATTTTTGGCTTTACTTTTTGGGCTATTTTCTGCATTCGCTATTTCGACAATTTAAAAGTTCGGGCAATGCAAAATATTTTTTGTTCACTAAAAAATTTAATATTTGCCATAAACACACGTTGCAATCGAATTGGAAATACAATGTGCTAAGGTCATTGATTTTTTTGGGGTAACTTTGTGGGACAAACATAGATTTTGGGAGTTCGGTAGGTTGAAAAGATTAAGATACAATTTAAGACCCTTTGTATACAACATACATAGTTCAAAATTTTTATTTCTGTTTTTCGTACATTAAAAATTATTTTTTTTTTTTTGCCAAAAAGGGTAGCTAACAGCTCATTACCAATACAAGAAAATTTAAGTGAATTTGATAGTTTTATTTAATATGACTATTTAGTTTTCTTTGGGATTTGTTTTTACACAAAATGTTAGTTTTACCATTTGAATTATTTTAAACAAGTTACGTTTCTAGTAATGGGCTTTAAGCAAGACATTACATTCGAACAAATTAAATCATTCTAAATTTTGGCGCTTTCCACCGAATTCGTAAATTTGTGGCTTTCCTTTTTCTTTAGCTCCCTCTGAAAATAGCTTAATTTCAAACTGAAAATCGGCAACAGCGCAATTGGCTCCCACAAAGTGCAGTCAGTGTATGTATGTGTGTGTGTTCTTCTTGTTTCTGTGTGCATGAAAAATGATAGGAGACTTACGGAAAGAGGGAGAGGCGAAGAGAGCATGATAAAGAGCGGGCTGGGGAAAAACGAGTCTAACGAGTAAAACGCAGCAACAACACCAGCAATAAACACGGCGCGCAAGGTGAAACACGTACAAAAGAAAAAAAAACCCATGTAAAGAGTGGGAGAGAGCGAGAAGGAGATCGGTATAATAATAATAATAATTGTGGAGCACATGCACACACACACGAACACGTATAAATAGCAGCGCATGCTTTTGACTGTTTTATTCATACACATGTGTGGGTGTTTTGCTACCCTCTCCCATTTTTGTTGTTGTTGGTAAAAGCCAGAAATATGTACAGTAAAATACATATAGACAGAAAACGAAATGAGAAAAAAGCTGAACCAAAAAAAAAAATATAAATGAAAAACAACAAAAAATCACGAGTAGGCCGAAAGCAATTTATTTCAGATAAGCGCCGCTGCCGGCGTCGCTGTTGGCGTCGCTGTTGGCGTCGCTGCCTTTAGACCTGGCTCTCTTCCCCTTCTTTTCCACCTTCCCCAACCATTTCCACTTTTCGGTGTTTTGGGCAAAGTAAAGTATTGATTTTTCGTTTCGTTTCGAGCTTTAATTTAGTGCGCGAGGCTTTTTTTCGGGCATTTTATATGGGCGTACAAAATACCAGTAATGGTTACTGTAAAATAAAATATATGTATTTTTTGTTTTTAAAAATTACAATCAAAATAATTTTATTTCCAGTTCGTCACAAAATTTTACGATACAAGTTTATATAAAAGATAACATATTTCTTTGACCAGACTAAATAAATTTTCACATTTTAAGTTACTCTACGTTAGAATATCATAATTTTTTTTAATATTTTTATTTAACCCTATGATTTCATCCGCAGCTGTATATATTTTGTTTACTTTTCTTCTTGCTAGTGTTCATGTTTTTTTTTTTTTTTTTTTTTGCGTGCGTGTGTTTTATCAGTAACTACTGTGTGCTTGTTGTGTTTGACTGGGAAAACGTGTTTTCCACCTCAAAAAGTTTCGAACGTAGGTTGGCTTGTTTATACATTTTTTTTTTTTTTTTGATTTTGCCAAAACACGAAAATATCTACCTACTAAAAAAGACACGCACGTTGCAATTTCAAAAAGCGCAAAGCGCGAAAAATCATAATAAATATTGCAATATTAAATTCACATATGCCGCACATGTGGTTGCCTTTAATTTTGTACTTTTGGGAAAATAATCTGCGCGGAATTCTTTATGAAACTATATGAATATGCATGCATGTACGTACATACATATGTTGCATTGCATTTATGTTCATACATTTGTTTATGTACATACATACGTATGCATGTTAGAATCGCTGCGCATTGTCACACAAATTGTTTTTAATTTTAAAAGCTCATACAGTTTTTGTGCAAAATGGGACACCTAAAAATAAAATGAAACATTTTAATATTTTCTATTTATATTATATTTAAAAAATAAAATTGCTATGCTTTTTAACTGGGCGCTAATGAAAAGGGATCAGTACACGTTACGATTGCAGAAACAACACAACTCTACTTTATTGGTACTAGTGTGCCAATAATGAATTTGCCCAATTTGCTGATCATATTTGAAAAATTGTCTTTCTCTTTCCTTCTTCTTTCAGGTTCAAGAACATTCGAGGGCAGAGATAGTGACAAAGAGCGAGAAAAAGAGGGACGGATGAAAGGCGGCGAAATAAAGGAAAGATAAGAAGGTTGGGAGATAAGAACAAGAGCAAGGAATTCGCTTTTAAATTACTTTCATATGTTCAAAGTTTGCAATGGAATAATAAGAGGAAATCTCAAACAAGGAAAAATAAATACAAAGAATGTATTATGTATGAAAAGGAGGAATGATCTATATTTGCTGGCGTGAAAAATACTAATTATTGATACACACATATACATATATGAATAAACTCTGACTTTTGCGATGTGCTTTGTTTCGTTTGTTTTTTTTTAATATGTACATATTTTTGTTTTACTGTTTTTGCCGCTGGCAAACACAAAAATGCCATTAAAATGCCAAGTGACAGTTTTTTAGACATCTGTTTTTTCGCTTTCATTTCATGTACCCAGTTTCAGTTCCCAGTTTCATTTTTTATACCCACAAATTTAAATTAACCCATTAATACAAATAATAAAAAAATAATAAATTTGAAAAATAAAGTAATTTTTGTATAATTTTTTTTCCCCCAATATATATAATGTTCTATAATGGCAAAAAAAGGTTAGCGAAGGTTAAAACGGAAGAACACCTAAGCACAAGGACGGTGGTTTCGTTTTCCTTACTTTTTCCTAAAAATTTCTTTTGTTTTATTACTTTTTTGGTTGGTTCTTCATCTCTTGCTATCAGCGAAAAGCAAGGTTGCCAAACTTCAATCGAACGTGAACTTTGTTCATGTGAGCTGCGTATTTCTTTTCTCTCAATTGTTGTTGTATTACTTTTTGTGTTTTTTTTTTTTTACCAACTTTGTCTTTCTATAGAAGGAAAAATCAATATGCGCGGATTGCGATTGCATTTAAATGAACAAGAAAACGGCAAACAGACGAAAATAAAAAGAAAATCCATGTGCTTCAAAGTCAGGCATGGGAAAAATAAAATACTATTTTATACAGCATGAAATTATTCTTTTGGTCAAACAAAGATTGGATTTATTTTATATATCGAATTTTTTCATATTAAATATTAAATTAATTATAGCTTTTTAAGTAACCAATTTGGATATTCTTTTTTATTGTTCCACTATTGTTATATTGAACACATCTGTGTATATATTTTTGTTTGTGTAGTGTGAGTGTCTGGCAACAAATAAAATATGGTGAGCACTGCTAAAAAAAAAACCGGTCCAACAAGAAATTCTACGTGCGGCTTATAATAAAAAAAAAAAAAAAAAAAATAACAGAAAGCAAAGAAGAAAAAAAATCGAGAGAAGACAGAAAAAAACCACAGGCCACGTATACCTCATCTGTATTCATTTATATATATATATATATATACATATATAGCTGTTCACATTTAAACCAGTGAAAAGAAATTGGTAAAACAAGAAAAAACAGAAGTAATATTTGCATAATTTAAATGCTAATGGGAGATTGGAATATATAGAAGTTGTTCAAAGGCAAAGCCACGAAAGGTATAAATAAATGAAACTATAAATGTATGGAAATATATACCACATATAAAGCGTAGCCCCAACGAACATCAAAAAATAGACACAAAAATATAAAAAAAAAAGAACTTGATATTTTTGGCGCCACACGTATTGGAATGAAGAAGAATCTAAAGACGAACACATGTCATGGGGAAATGGAATTTTGAAAACTAAATGAAGTAGAGTTGAAGAACCAGTTCGCGGACTTTAAACTCACGTGGAAAGGCTAAAAGAAACCTATATTGTACTTAAGGGGTTGTTTTTCTAAGTGGCCGAATCGTTTAAAAGGATTTTCTACGTTTGCAAGAGTTTTTTTCAAAATTGAACTAACAGTAATCAAATGTTTCAAATTATTAAGAACGGACATCAACTTTATACATTAAACCAGCAATAACGCGATGCAGAAATATTAAATTCCATTTTAGTTTGGGCAATTAATAAAAATTTAAATGATAATCAAAAGGATATAAAACAGCATTATATCTTACTAACAAACAACTCAATCTAAATGTCGTTAATCGATCCAATAGGATTTTATTTAAAGTATTTAGAAACAAGAACAATACACATGTTTTCTTGGACTTTAATTTACTATAGGGACATTTGAAACTTCTTTATTTCGAGAATATTACCACTTATTTAAGCACCTCAGTATTACAAGTTAATAAAACAACATTCTTTTAAATATAAATCGCTAATCAAGATTTAAAAAACGAACACAATTTTATTCCAGTTGAAAAAATATGTATGTTGAATAAGCGACGGATTTTAACAATTTCAACTATTTGCTCTTGTTGTTCTTAAACCCATCATGAATTTGAAATAAACTGCAATCCTTACAAGTATCTTAAATACATAATATTTAGACAATTGTTAAGAACCTACCCGATATTTGATGATAGATGATGGTAAAATCCGTGAAAATCCATTGAAATCAGTATTCAATTTGGCTTTAACTCGAATTTATTCTTTTTCTTTTCGTACGGCACAAATAACTCGATATCTTATTTTCTATTGATTTTTCTCATTTCAGTAACAATAAAAAAAAGTAAACTTTTTATACATGTATTATACATTTAAAGATATGTATTTTTATTTTTTCTTGGCGAAGGAGAAGGTATTAAGCGAATAACGGTATAATATTTTTTTTGCACAGGGCGTTGTCGGGCACAAAAATATTGGCGTTTTATATTTTATCGGTTGTTGTTGTTGTTTAACAAATCCTCTCTCTATGTGTGTTGTGTGTGTGACTTCTTTTTTTAAATGTATTAACAAAAAAAACTAGAACACACGCACACAAGCACATTTAGAAATTTTTTCCACTTTAATGAGAGAACGAGTGAGGCAGAAAGCAGAGGGAGAGCGAGAGAGGACGAAAAAAAAAAAATCGCGACGCAATTTTTATAAATTTTTTCCTTTCATTGCCTTTTTTTCGGCGTTACCTCTTTTTTTGCTGGCACACCGAACACACACAAGCACACAAACACAACCGCACCGATATTTATATGTGCATATATACATAAAAATATATATTTCTTATATTTTTTTTTAACGAATTGCGTTGCACATTTACCTCGGTTATTTTTCGTGAATTTGTTATAAATAAATTCGCAACGTATATGTTATCTGGCGCAAACGTCGTCAATTTTTCACATGCTCTGCGCGCATCACACACCCGAGTTTTTAGTCATTGAACAACGACAACGACAACGCAGCGCCAACTTGAAACCAGCGGCGCCGACAGTGAAGTTGGCAGCGCAACGACGACAGCGGCAGAGGCAACCTTTTTTTGGTCTTACTGTTTTGCGGTTTTTTGCGGTTCGAACAGCCCATGAAAGTTAAATACTTAGGATTCTTGACCAGTTCTCCGCAAAAATTATTTTAATGTCATTAAATAACGGGATTTATGAGCATTTTCTGGTATTTTTGTTAGGCGAACGAGAAGGAAAGATAGAAAGATTTTCGCCGTTAGTCGGAAAGTGAGCAGCGGCTTTGAACAAATGGCTCGACGTCAAACATCGAACCGTTGGACCGTTACGAACCCAAGCGACGTCGAACATTCACAGTGGCGGTACAAATTATTTAACAGTGTGCCGGGTTTTCGTGAATAACATACATATATGCCTTTTTTATTGAATGATGTTGTATAGATGTACATACATACATACTTGTATAATTTACTTAATGATCTTGAGTTAGTACCCTTTTAAAAATTAAAAAACAAAACTTTTAAAAATACACAGATATTTTTCATAAATATATTATTTTTTATTCATTATTTAAAGCCACTTAAGAAGCTAAAGAAGAACTAGGTCTTAAAAAGAAAACCTTAAGTTACAGTATATGCTTAAAGTCTTTGCTGTTGAAATATATTATAAAATTCGATTTAAACGGGTTGTTTTTATTTTAAATAACTTTATTTAAATTGCGGAAATAGTGAAAATATTAAAAAAAATGATTATAAGTCAAATATTACATGTGTCTTAAAGATATAAATCTATATTATTACAAAATCTATATCATCGACAAGTTTGTGGTCTTAGTTAATATTATTACTATTGTTAATTTACCTCTTTATTAATATATAATTAAATAAAAACTAAAATAACAGACGTAGTTCAATATAGTAAATACATGGCTTGTTGACTTATATTTTGAAATCTGCAACTTAAATAAAGTGTCAGTTTCGCATATTTATACATTTACAAACATAAATAAATATGTATACATATGTACATATGTGTATGTGCATATTAAAGGTGGAAAATCTTCCGCGAAAAACGATCCACTGAGTAATCCGACCATTTGCGCCAGGCGAAACGTTTGATAAATTGAAAAATGAGCATTTGCAATGGTTTAATTCACGTTCTGGCGCATTTTCCGCCCCTCCCACCGTTTCCCCCACCCGCTTTGATAATTTTCATTCGCCAGCCATCTCATGTGTTTTATTTTTCCGCCACTGTTTTTTTTTGTTTTTTTCGTTTTTTTTTTCGCCGCTTGCCAATTTGCAGTGAAAGTGAAATGCGCTGAGCGCAGGCGGTTTGAAAAGGGGCGGGGTTACGAGGGGTCACGTGGTGGGTGGTGGGCGGGGTGCAGAGGGCAACGGCCAGCGTAGGCCGGGCCTAAAAAAAAAAAAAAAAACAAAACCCGAACACACGTGCGATTTACCTGCAATCGCTCAATCAGGTTGCATGTTCGCTTCGATGAGTCGAACCAATTTTCTAGCCGCGATTCTAGCTAATTCGCAACGAATGTCAGCTGTTTTTTGCCCAGTGTACATAGCACACATATTTTTGCTGTTATTGTTCTCAAATCAAATTTGATTAATTTATATTTTAAGCTTAAGTAAATAACACAATTGTAAACGTAAATTGTGAAAAGTAATTTAATTGAATTTTTTTGGGGTTAAGAAAACTTTTTCTTAATTGCTTAATTTTTAGCTTTAACAATGGTGGTATACATTTTTCGTGTGTGTAAATAGTTTTTGATATAAATAAAAATAAACATCTGTATTAATAAATGTAAATCAGACTAAAACAATTTGTGCTAATACTTTGTGTCTATTATTAATATTCGGTTGTTGTTGGTTTGCTTTGTTATTATTAGGTATTTTAGCCCCCCATTTCCCCTGTCCTTTTCCATCTTTCTGTCCCGCTCTGTCTCCACTCGCTTACTCCGTTTTCCTCCCGACTTTTTCCCTTCCTTATTTCTCTCCTTTTTTGTTGTTGTTTGCAACCGGCCGGCGTAAGACTTGCAACATTTTTCTAAGCGCATTTTTTTCCATTTCATTTTGCTCGCCACGCAACGTTGTCAGTTTTCAGTGCAAAAAACAGAAGCAAACACAAAAGCGGCAACATCGCAACATGTTCGAAGCCAACTGAAAATCGGCAACAGCGCATGGGAAAAAAACGACTGCTGCCGCTGCAGCGACTTTTTATAACAAACATAAATAAATAAAATAAACAAAAAGAGAGGGAACAGTTAGAGAAAGAGAGAAGAGACGGAGAGCATAAAAAGGCCACTCACACAAGTTGCATTTGCATGACAAGCCGCATCAAACAAAACATCAGGCCACATCATACCGAAATTTTCGAATATTCTACTTATCCGTCATTCTTCGTCACTCAAAGTAAGACTATTGAAACGAACGCTTCATACAGCGTCATACCAAAAGTCATACAACAGTTGTCCTAAGTTGTATATACATATGTATAATAAAAATAATAAACAAAAAAAAAGTTTCAACGCAGATACAACAAAGTAAACGTAATAAAACATGTCGTCCATGGGTGCCAATAATTTATACGATGAGTCGGAAATAATGGTGGAGTTTATCAGCTGTTATCGGCATTTTACCGCTCTATGGGATAGCAGAAGTGCCGACTATCTATCGAAACAGAAAAAGGATCCGGGATATCAGGAACTATTAAAAATCCTACGACGCGTCAACGGCGGCTGTTCCCTTCAGGATGTGAAACGCAAGATCAACTCCCTGAGATGCTGCTATCGTCGCGAGATCAAAAAGGTACATGCCTCCTCCGATATTGGCTATAAGCCGCGCCTATGGTGGTTCCATTTGATGGAGTTCCTGAATCCAGTTCTCAACATAAAACCTACGATCGGGGTAAAATCGGAGAGTATGGACGATAGTCTCGATGAGGCAAGCATTAATGTAAGTAAATAAGCTGAAGTATGGATATATATATATTATATTATTAATTATACTTAAATTAACGAAATATATATGTACAAAGTTAAGCTTTCAAAATATGTAGGATAGTAAAACCATATTTCTAGTCAAGAATTGAGTTTCCAAGTATATTAGTTGTTATTGTAACGGTTATACAGAAAACTCTTAATATTTCAAACACCAAAAAGCTGAATAGGCAAAACGGAGCGAAAGAGTAGTCCAAAGTCCAGCGGTTCGATGGTCAGGGATTTCGCGTTTGTTCGAAGCGGTTTGAAGGCGGTCGTACGACAGCCGTCAGTCGTACGACAAGACAGTCAGAAGTCGGAATGTCGCCGCACAGCCACACGGCCGATGAGTTTTGGAGGGAGTTCTTTCGGATGTACCGCTCAATGCCCGAATTGTGGCTGGTGCGCAGCAAACTGTATCGTAATCGGAGGCTCAAGGCTAAATCCTACGGTCGCCTTTTGCAATTATTGCGCGCTAACGATCAGCATGCCAATATTCACACGTTGAAACGCAAGATCAACAATTTTCGATCTTCGTACCGCCGCGAATTTCGGAAGGTTCTGCAAAGTGGTAGCGAATACGTCCCATCATTGTGGTACTTTGAGGAGCTTGATTTTCTCCGTGACGTAGATGAGGGTCACCCAAAATTATCGCAGGATGATCCGGATGAACTTCAATCCGAAACCGAACCAGAGGGCATTGGATTTACTCAGCAGAACGAGAGCGGGGTGGAAGAGGAATATGAAGTGAGTTTTTGGAGAGTATTTTGAAGTACCATCTGTATAATATTTAAAAAGAATCGGGTAAACATTATCACAGTACAGTAGAATCCGGTTAATGCGACGAGGGCGTCCGCTTAGTACGTTTCCGCTTATACCGACAAAATTGTTCACAATTCAACCGGATATTGCGACGTGCCGAAAAAAAAATGCAGCGAAAATACATAATGCCAAGAAATTTCATCAAACGCACTTTTTGCAATGTATTTACATATGTATGTAACAGCGATACATTGCTTGTGTGCGTAGCAGCGACACGAAGGTTCTTAACACTCTCACTACTCTCTATTAGTTTTATTTGTCGCTCTGCTCCGAGAGAGAACGTCGAAGTGCAATGCCGCCGTCGCACAACTGTTTATTTTTAATCGTATTTTTTTCAGCACGTCGCAATATCCGGTTGAAATGTGAACAATTTCGTCGGTATGAGCGGTTGGTTTGATGCTAAGCGGAGGCAACCAACCAAGCCAACGAGTTTTCAATGGACGGTCGGCCTGAACGGACACTATAAGCGGAGTCGTTATAACAGAATTCGTTTGTAAAACTGCGTAAACTCGCCAAATATTTAGTTTGTTTCAGTGTAAAATGTCTTCAAAACGAAAGTGTTTCTCTGTTGAAGAAAAAATGCAAATTATTCGGCGCTTGGAAGCCGGTGAGCGCAACGCTACTCTGGCAAAAGAGTTCGGCGTGTGCCACACAACAATTGCCACAATAAAAAAAAATAAAGAAAAAATTAAAACTTTATTTTATAATAATGTCTTAAAGCCAAAACGCGTCAGAGCGTCAATCCATGATCAAGTCGATAAAGCATTGTTACAGTGGTTTATAATGCAAAGCAGTAACGGAATCCCATTAAGAATTTCACTGCTTCAGGAAAAAGCTAATTTTTTCGCAAAACAATTTAAAATTGAAAATTTTAATTGTTCTGCTAGTTGGATAAGCCGCTTTAAGGTCAGGCATAATATCGTCGCCGGTCCAGTCAGTGGAGAATTCGTGTCTGTCCAAAAAAGCGATGTAAGCAATTAAAAAAATGTTTTTTTCTTCTTGTGGTTAGTGCTTAGTTAGTTAACCGGATTCTATCTATCTATTGTTGTTACAACTTATGTACTCTTTTTGTAGATCTTGTGTTAAACATATAATAAATTTTAGTGGTAATATGTACCTGCGTTTATATATTTTTAGGATGACGACATGTATTCAGAACCTTTTCATACCGAAGATGATGGGTTAAGGATCGGGGCTGAACCAGAGGGCGAACCAGAACCAGAACTCGATCAGGAACCGGAACCGGAAACCGTTGACCTCAAGGTGGAAATCACACCGGACGATTATCAGTTGGAAAAGTCGGATTCGCCGGGCAGAGAAAGAACTTCGGAAGAACGACGCATCTATTACCGTGAACCAGCCAGGAAGCGTAGACGCGATGAGACTCCAATTCCGGAAAGGGATATGGATGACAGGGATCGTGAACGGGAGACCGAGATCGAGTGCGACCTAATCGGAAAGCGGATGGCCACCCACTTCCGGCAGATGAAACCGGATCAGCGGCTTTTCGCCGAACGGATCATCAGTGAGGTGCTTGTCTACGGCCGTATGGACCGTCTTTCGTTTGAAGCACGCTTTGTTCCGTAGGAAAATTTAAATTTACTATGCTCCGTAAACATACATAAAATGATTTCCTTCAAAAAGGTTTATTAGTTATTTTAAAAGTTTAAAAACAAATCTATATTCTAAGCCATATACATGTGTAAATAAAAAGACCAGAAAAATAAAATTTTAGCCGCCTGCATCGCAATGCAAAAACGCTAAACCCAAATATGCAAAAATGGCAAATACAAAACAAAACGGCGAAAGATTAAAGGCGGGGGGAAGTGGAGAGAAAAACACGAAGGAGCAGAAAAGAACTGTATAAGCCGAACCAGTTTTTATTCATTTTAAATTTGAGTGAGTGGTTCTGCATGCGGTTCCCCTCCCCAATCCTACTTTTTTTATTTCAGCCTCCCTTCTTTTCCTTTTCCTCTGATATTCTGCTGCTGCTCTGCTGACTGCGATTCTTTTATTCTTTTATTTTAGCTTTCTTTGCGACGCTGTTGGGTTCTCTTTTTTTCTTCGCTCCCTCTCGTTCCTGCACACCCGTTTCTTTTTGCTGTTTCCTTTGCTTTAGTAACTTTAATTTGTTGGCATTGCCATTGCCGTTATACTGCCTCCCCTCTCTTTTTCACATTCTATTACCCTTCTCACTCTCTGCCCTTTTCCACATGGCTCTATTATCGCTGCACGGAAAATAAATAAATACGTTAAATCATTGTTATTAAAATGACTTAATATTAAAATTATATATTATAATATTTAATATTATTTATTAAAGAATGCAAAAAGGGTTTAATATTCCATATTGGTTTTTGAAACGCAACCACCACAAATTTAAAACAAAATAAAACAGTTTATTTTTTAAAGTTTATTCTTACATTGTTTCTAAGTTCTGTATTTATATATGTTACATACATACATACAACATATTTGTTTTTTTTGTGTACATTTCGGTTAGGTCGGGTTCTATTTTGTTTTTGTTTTCTTTCTGCTTTATTTTTTCCCTCAGCGAGCAAGGTGGTGTGAATAGTGGATGGCAAATAACAGAAGGCGAAAATAAGAGAAAGGGTTTGTCTTATGGGTTCTAGATATACATACATATGTACATACATACAAAATATACATTTATATAAATATCTCGTCACACCCATGTCTGTGTGTAATTATTTATGCATGCACGTAATTTGATCAAATTTTCAACTGTTATTTGCATTTGGTCACACCTTTGTTGTTGTTTCAATTCGTTAACCTTAACCCATGAAATACATATGTGGGGCCTTTACGAATAGGACTAGGAAAACCTGTTTTTCTTTTAATAAAATTAATGCATTTTTTATTTCTACATACATACATACATACATTTGTATACACTTGCATGTGAAAACAAAAAATATAAAATCGAAAGACCACAATTCCATACAAACATACATATGTATGTACATATGTATATCCATTTTATTTTAATGAAAATGTTAAATACTGTGTCTTATGGGTTAATGTTTTTGAGAACCAATTAGAGGTGTGGTTCGCATTCCGCAAGGATTACGGATTAGTGTTTTGGGTTTCGTTTCGTTCTTCTTCCGCATGTTCTCCTTTATTTTCGCTAATCTTTTAAGTTCTGTTCCCCACATGTGGATGTTTTCATTGCTTTTATGTATTTGCTTTCTTGGCGTTCTATTCTTTCCTTTCCTTGCTCTGCGCTTTTTTTATGCTTTGCAAGTAAAATAAAAACCATAGGCAATAAGAAAAAGGAAAAATAAAAGCAGCAGCAGGTCATTAATAACTTTGTTGCCCTGTCCTTCCTGTTTTGTTTTTGTTTCGACTTGCTCTGAATTTTTATTGCCGTTCGTCGTTACTTCGTTTTCCTTCCTTCTTCATACTCCCCATTGCCCATTCGTTTTTGCTGTCGATAGCTACACAAAAAAAAAATTGAATCAAAATTCCCTTTTTGTTTCGTATGATATATATAAACTTTGTAAATAGAGATATTTTGCCGTTAACTTGAACCGTAAACTCATCCAAACAATTTTTTCTATAATATGTACATATATGTATGTATGTATTAACATACATATATATGTATGTTTAATTTTAACAAACTGTTCGTTTAGTGTATCAATTTTGCCGTTGGTGGTGTTTTCCTTATTTTTTTTTGTTGACTGTTTTATTTTTGGTATTTTCGCTTTTGATGTCGATTCCGTTGTTGTTGTAGCCGGCATTTAAGCCGTCTCAGAAAAAAGCAAAAATTTAGGCAAATTACTGGCCTCCAGTTATTCGCCTTCGTCCCCTTCTATTTCACACACACACATCAAAATCAAACACACATGTGCACTTAAGAAAACCACTTTAAAGAATACAAAGTTATGTAAACCAATATTTTTAAGTTTTCGAATCTGTTGAAACGTGACTAAGGCACGAATCCACAAGAGTTGTTGTACATACATGTGTGCATATATACATACATTTGTATTTTTTTGTTTAGTGCTTTTAATGTTAATGCATATTATTAACATTATTGTCAAAAAAAAAAGAGAAACATTGATTTTACTTAGAGAATACGAAAGAAAGATTTAAAATATTGCCATATAATCGTTTTTCCTTTTCTTATTCTTAACTTTGTCCTTAACTTAAAGTTCATGGATACTTTTTGGTAAGTGCAATGAAAATGAAACTAGTAGTTTCTGGAAAATTCGCATGTCTGAAAGTTTAGATGTCCACTGTGGTGTGTGTTAGTCGTCATTTGAAAGGTTCTCAGCGTCTTTGGTTTTGACATGTTGCCTCCTTTTTCTTCTCCATTTCTGTTCTTTCGCCCTTTTCCCTTTACCTCTGGCAAACAGTTTTTGGTCGTAGTCAACCGCAATAATCCATCCCCATCTTGGTATGTATGTATGTGTGTGTGTGAATGGGTGTGTTTGTGGCACAAAATGAAAATGGCAAAACAAGGTCAAGTGTAGGGAGCAAAGTTTGTTTGAGTGCACACACGCACACAAACTATGTATAACCACACATAATACATGTATGTACATATGTATGTACATTTAAAACAAAATTAAAAAATATTCAGCTCGTATAAACTTTTCATTAAGTGCAACATTGAAAATCTAATTTGATCCCACTTTGTTACATTCTTTTTTCAAATACTTCGAAGAAAAAATAAGAATGTTATACATAAATAAAGAAAAAACACTGTTTTATATTCTTCTTACCAAAATAAATTGTACATGTATTTGCATACATGGATATATGAAACAGTTACAAATGATGAATGATATAATGTATTGGGAAACTACTAAAATAAATATATTATTGCTAATTAAGATTGGAAATCACGGGTGTCCGAATAAATTGTGTGCTGACTATATATGTAAATGCAATAGAAACGCAAAAATTACTAATGCTGTACTTTTATGACTACTTTTACGAAAATATTTACAGCTATTTTGTATTAAAATGCTTTTGTGGGCTAAGGTTGAAAAAAATTAAGTTTTAGGCCTGTGAGTCACGTTCAACAGGCTCAATCGACGCTGGCAGAGGCGGCGACCGCGGCAGCGACTGAATTTTGAGGTTAACATTTTGACGACAAAATAATTTGCACAAAGGTGCGAAGTTTTTTGCGTACCTTTTACAATATTTTTGTTATATTTTTTTTGAGAGCTGAACTTGACGGATGACACTCTGCCGCTCTGCCCAGGCCTCTGACGGCGTCGACGTCGACTCCGAAACGACACCTGTGGCTATGCGAAAAAGTCGTCGAAAAATGGGGGAAAAGTGGAATAAAATAAAACAACCCTCGTCTGAGATTTTAGCTGCCAATTTTTCGCAGGCCTATGCAGTAATTCTCTCTCGCTCTCTTCGTCTGTCTCTCGTTCGTCCGAAAAAAGGTGTGACGTAGAAACCAAAACACACACAAGCTAAACAAAAAAGAAATGGGAAAAAAGCTTGGAAACAGCAGCTGAAAGTGTAACTAAAATACACACATATAAAATTATATACCAATAAACACACTCACACACATTTGTATGTATATGTACACCGACGCAAACGTTGCAAAAAAGAAACCTAAATAAAAAAATTAAATGGAAATTTCTGATATAAAACACACTCACACGCAAGAGCGAACTGAAGTTTGGCAACGATGCGCTGGGACCGCGCAGTCGCCAGAAAGCGACGCCGGCAGACACAAAAACAAACAGTAAAGAATGTCGCACGCGTGAGTGAAACGGCCAGATAGTGAGTGAGCGAGTAAGTGAGTGAAAGAGTCAGTGCGTCAGAGAGTGTGTTGTTTTTGCGCAGCGCCGCACGGCAACAGTGAACAGTGGGGTAAGCAACGAACAATGCGCTCAGAATGTAATACAGAACATTTAAACATTCGTAAAGCAGTCAGAGAAAAAAACTTTGGAATTCTTTTTTAATGCTGAACAGGATAAATTTGTAAATTTGAGCAAAGGGGAAGCGATTCTTCTTTTAATTAATATATGAACATTCAGGTGTGCGTAAACTTAAAAAATTCGGAAAATGTTGCCCTATTGTCCCACAGTGCAGCAGTTTTTAACTGAGAAGGGGCGGGAGCAAGGCACGAGAAGAGCAGATAGCAAAAAACACAAGCAGCCCAGTGCAAAATTTAATACGTGACGTGGCAATAAAAACAGCAAAATTAAAAAAGATTTGTTGTATCGTTAGACAACTTTTAAATTAATACTTAACTTTGATATTTGTTTAACAATTATTGAATTGATTAATAAAATGTATTGTTTGTATTCATACATACGTACATATATGACATACGTTTGCATATTACATATATACATATGTACATAAAAATATAATGCTTTATCTCAATAAATATAATAAGACCACAAAATGTATTCTTGAGTTGCCTGATTTATAGTAGCGTTGGTATTGGCTGCTAACCCTATTGACTACAAGTAATCAGTGAAATTGTTAAATTCGCCACTGGGTCGTTTCCCGCTTGGTTGCTTCTTCTTCTCTTTCCTCTCCCTCTTCTATAACTTCTCCCACTCTCGCGCTCTTCCTCTTCGCATTGGTACGAAAAAAACACAATTTTTTTCGCTACAATTTGACACACAAAGCAGCTGTCTGCATAAGCACCACACACACGTACATAGATACATCGTACATACATTCATTACATACATATGTATCTCTTATATATCTCACGCTGTGTTGCCATAGATACAGACATACAAACAGACATACGTAATTTAT